CTTGGTAGCATTTCACCCCAACTCAGCTTTGATTGTAATTTAAAGGAATCTTCCACGGAAAAGCTCCGCCTCCATTACCACAGAAAAACGATACCTTAGGCCCCTAGCCTCATGAGCATAGCAAAAAGAACGGAACATAAGCGTTTTCCTCAGGAAAAGTTTGAGAGGAATGCTGTCTCTCATGAGCAACGCAGACTTCTCTGGCACGCGACAAGGAGAAATCGTCACGTCATCGGAGCCTGTTTTAGTCACTCGTCTTATCTGCTGCGACGACACATCTGAAAGAAGAACTCTGCTGACTCATAGCCATATTTACTCATTCGGCAAGGCGCTTGGTTGGATGCGAGAGCAGTTTAGGGGCGCTGCTTGCCACGCGCATGGTGCGGGGGTCAAATCCTGGACGTGGTCATTCAGGCCAAGCCCCACGACACATTTGTAGACTTTAAATCGCGCTCAAATTGCCACTGCTATCTACATGGAAGCAGAATGCGTGACCCATAGAAGGAAATGGATTGCAATAGGCAACGCCGAGTGCTTTATCCTTTATCCATATCATACGTGGCAACTTGCGGTAGGTTTTAAAGGCAAGCCTGGGATAAAATGTGTGTATAAGAGCGTTCAGTAATGAAGTTGGAAGGGGAGGGGTGGTCTTTAGGTCCATACCTACAAAGTTCGTGCCACTTTGCAGCTCCTGCTAGTGACTTCGCAGATCCTGCTAGTGAGCCTAATCCCGGGCCTTGTTTCTAAGCAACGATACTGCACAAAGAAAGAGGAAATGGTGGCAGTTAGCAGTACTTAGACTACAATTGGTGCTACAAGCGCGGGTGCTCCGAGTCTCAATATTCGTGAGTATCTTCCTCAGTGCGATACGGTCTTTCCGCCGGCTAAAATTGGGCACTTGATGTGAAACTCGTTTATGAGAATAAGAACGCTGAAGCGCTATGCATCTGCTCAACAGCAAGGAACATCAGGCGTAAGCGAAGGTGAAATACTCGGCGTACAACGGGAAAATTATCCTGAGCCGGCGTTCTTGATCCAATTTCCAGGAGGTCAGCAAAATTATGAAAAAGAGTCGCACAGAATTTGATATCCTGCACAGTAGGCTGTTTTGCTTGGACTGGCTGACCATATCCTGCATTTCCCCAAACGCAAGAATATTCACGCAAAATCAACTTGTACGAGATTCAATGAATTTTGACTTGTTTTGTTTGTTAACTGCTGTTTTAACGCCGCAGTTCGCGTTGCGAATGTTTCACAAGAATGCTGGGTTGTGAACAAAACTTTCGCCCCAGGCGGGACTAGAACCCGCACCTCTCGCTTTCCGGGCAAGTGCGCTACCAGTTACGCTACCGGGGCACCATTTCATTCCAACTCAGCTTTTCATGGTATACGTACCATAGCTTTCAGCACTCACACGTCTAACGTGTTGAGCCGGTTAGATCGGTCATTGCCGATATTGGCTAAACCGCTCCACACGTTATACGAGGGAGGGTTGAGA